TCTCCAGTGCTGGGAACCCATTCTGCCTGCCGTACACACCCGAGGTCCCACTTTGAAACCACAGGGTCCGGGTCTGAGTACCCGGGGTTGTGAAGGTGCCCGGTCACAAAATACATCTGGGCATATCTAGTTCCTGTGGCCCTCGGAGCTCCCGGAAACCCCAGTATTGGAGAGCTTGGAATGGGGCAAGGTTATTGGTCCTCACGAGGATTTTAGCCTTACGTTCCCATTTAGCCACTGAGGCGTTTTCTCGAGGCGGGAGGACAGCACCTTTTCTCCCCAAGTTCACACTGCACACACCTGGGACTGCTGGATGTATAAGGGGTGTGAGACTATCCCTCCTTGTCCTGTGAGTGACTAATCCTGAGACGGTGAAGGGATTAGGGTAGAGACAGAGGCCAGGGCAGCAGCCATCCATCCTATCAGTCTCTCAAGGAAGGGAAGAGAAAGAAGATGAAAAGTACTTACAAACTGCAAGGTGTGTATCTGATGCTCAGAGAGCCCAGGAATTTACCTTGAGTTACACAGAGCAGGAGGAAATAGGACTGGATTTCAGCTATGTGGGTACTCTATCTGTCCATCAGCTTAAAAACATGCCAGGAGGCCAGGAGGGTGTGTGTGTGTGTCCGTGTGCCTACTCTTTCCCACAGGGGGTAGGGTTCCAATGGGTGGGCCCTGTTGATGCTACAGTAGCTCAGGGGTCTTGGGCTCTTGTTTGGGACCCCACACCTCCCTTCTGCCTCCCACCTTCCTAGCACCCGCCCCTGCACACATTCAGGTATTAATAGAGCAGGCGGCTGCCAGGAAGGCTGCCATGTGTTTGATCTGACGTGGTTTTGCAGCCATATGTTCTCTACTTCAGGGGAGCACTCTCTCCTTCTCTTCCTCAGCCTCCCTTCACTTGGCAGGGTGGGGTGCAGGGGGTGCTGGCAGCAGTTCAGGGCCATGGCTGATACCCTGGGTGGAGAGCTGGCAGCCTGTTGCACTGGTTGGGTACAGCAGTCATTCCCAGGGTAGTGCCTGCTCCAGGAGGTGACAGCTCTACACTGTTTCAGCTCAGTTTGCCCTCTGGTGATTGGGCAATAGGGAGCTATGAGGAAGAGGTCCTTAGAGCTAAGGGGAATTAGGCAGTGACAGAAACCAAAGGTCTTGTCATTCTTCTTCCCCCATCCCAGGTTCAGGAATTCCCATGTAGTCCTGTCCCAGTTTCCTCGACACTGACTGAGAATGAGCCTTCTAGCACAGAAGCTACTTTTTGGAAGAGAATGAGATATGTTCCCACAGACTGCCAGAGACAAGGGCTATATGTCAGTCAGGCTAACACATTGTCTTTCCCATCCCTTAGGCCTGAAGCTCATAGGAGCCCCCGTGACAATGACAGTGTCTCAGGGACAGCCAGTGACGCTCAACTGCAGTGTGGAGGGGATGGAGGAGCCTGACATACACTGGATTAAGGATGGGGGTGTGGCCCAGAATGCAAACCAGGTGTACATCCAAGTCAGCGAGCAGCACTGGATTGGCTTCCTCAGGTGCTAGGCTGTGGGAGAAGGTGTGGGATGACTACTTTAGAGACAGGCTCTGCCCTTTTCAGAAGGCCTGGGAACTGGGGGCTGTGCTGATATCCAGAGGTCTGTGGTTTTAAAATTTGGCTAAGTGGAACCTTCCAGAAGTTGTCCAGGCTAAACCCATCAAGTCTGGCCAGCAGAACTGCCCCTCTTGACCTTGGGAAGTAAGCCTGTATCCTTTTTCCATAGCTTGAAGTCAGTGGAGCGCTCTGACGCAGGCCGCTACTGGTGCCAGGTGGAGGATGGGGGAGAAACAGAGATCTCCCAGTCAGTATGGCTCATCGTAGAAGGTGAGGAGGCAGAGCTATATGGACCAGTGGCCTGGAGCAGGTGCTGTCTGCTAGTAACCATACCTCTGCAGAGGAGAACTCAGTGGAAGCTAGGCTGTCTTACTGCCTCCTGTGACCTGATGACACCAGGTTCTAGGCCCACTCAGATATCAGAAGACCCTACTTGCTAAAGCTTGGGTACCTAAGAACCAACTAGGACCCACGATTTCTGGGGTACAGTCTGTTTTAGCTGGCTCAGCAACAAGCCTCAAGGTTCATCTGGGGCTGGACCCTGTTCTGCCAAGTGGCCCCACCAGAAGGGGGAGGATAGATGGGGGAGGGGAAGAAGGCTCTGCAGCTGCAGGAGCTCAGAGCTGTTCAGCCCTGGAAAACAAAGTGACTAAGAAAGTAACAAAGGGCCCTGAACAGGAGCTGGGGCCTGCCAGCAGAACTCTGCTAAAGCTCCCACTCACTTCCCCTCCCAGGTTGCCCCTCCCCCAGCTCCCTATCCCTGCCTCCTCCCTTACTCTGAGGATTGTCAGAGGAGGTCTGAGGAGGGACTGTGGGGGCTGACAGTAGAATCTGCCTTGACTAAGGGGGCAGCAGAAAAGGAAGATGGTGAAAAAAAAGCCCTCTAACCCCCAAGGCTTGATGCAAGTTTTGCAGCTGACCCACTCATAAGGGACCTGTAGGGACTGTCCACACAGAGGACTTCAAATGGAAGTAAACTTGTGGTTTGAGCAGTAGGAAGCTAAGATATGGCAGGGCTCACTCCCACTCCTTCTTTCCCTAGGTGTGCCACTTTTTACTGTGGAACCAAAAGATCTGGCAGTGCCACCCAATGCCTCTTTCCAACTGTCTTGTGCGGCTGTGGGTCCTCCAGAACCTGTTACCATTTTCTGGTGGAGAGGACACACGAAGGTTGGGGGACCTGCACCTTCTCCCTCTGTTTTAAATGTAACAGGTGAGCAGTTTCAGGAGGAGGCTTTGAGCAGAGACTGTTTCTTTGCTTGAGTGAGCATAACAGAGTTGGGATCTGCCTGAATAGGAGTTTGTTGTTGTGAATGTCCAGAGCAAACCCGGTGTCTGGGTGTGTGAGCCACACCATTGCTAAACTCATTAGTCGGGTGTGTTGTGCTAGCTAGGTGGGCTTAGCTGTGATCCTGCTGCGTGTGCTTAAAGAGGGTGCTGGGGCCTCCTTGCCTCTCTCACAGCAGTCTAGCCCTTGTACCCTAGTCCTGGGAGATGAATTGTGAGACCAGGGGTACCCATCCTCCTCCCTCCCAAGAGAAGGAGCCAGAAACCAGCCCACACAGAGCTAGGGAGGAGTATCTGGCAAACAGGGAGAAGACAAGACTCTCAGGCTGCAGAAAGGAAAATGGGGGAGGGTAAAGGGGGGTGCACACAAAATACAGGGACCTTTTAATGGCCCTTTCTATAAATCTCTGACCAAATAGCTGTATCTGTTCATGTCTCTGTACAGTGAGACCTGAAGCAGGCATACCTGTACATCCTCCTGGGCCCCAAGATCCCCCAGCATACCCATCACATGCTTTGTAAGGTTTATTGATCTGGGAAACTAAGTTTACTGTTTCCAGTTGAGGCTTGAACTGGGCAAAAAAGATGAGTCAGAGCATGAAAGGGAAATATTCAGCAATTTGAACCTTGAGAAACTTGAGAAAAGATAGACTATAGGACCTGCTGGAGCCAGGGCAGGGCCTGTTCCGAGAGGAGGCTGGGTTCACAGCTTCCAGCTTTCCTCCAGATATGTGTGGTTAGGACCCTCAGGCAGCCAGTCCTATAATAAGCACTAACTGGAACTCCTGAACTCCTATTGCATACACCACACTGTGCTGGTCACCACAGGGAATTGAGAAAATACAAAAGGAATAGAAGCCACCTTTCCAGCCTCCAAAGAACTGAGGATAATTGGGTAGATAAGGAGCCGAAGACTTCTGCAAGGCAAAGAATCCCCAAATAGACAGTGACAGGGCACAGAACAAACAAAAGGGCTCTGGTATGAGCAATCAAGGAGTGGCCAGAAAAGGGAGGTCAGCTCTCTGCTGTCTGTGGGAGATGGGATTGAAGTGGGAGGTGCGGTTATAACATTTCACTATGTGTCATGCATTTTACATCAATTACCTGATTCTTAAAATTCTGCTGTTCCACAGATCCGGAAACAAAGCCCATCCAAGCTTATTAGACTCCAAAGTCCTTGTTGCATTCCATCATACCCCACTATCCAAACTCCTTCCTTTGGCTGGAGAGACTTGTAGAATGTTCTGGCCAGAACCTGAGTTGAATGCCCCCCAAACCCACACTGAGTGGGAGTTGCTGCTTAGGGGCTTGACTGGGGTTCTCTGGTTCCAGGGGTGACCCAGAGCACAGAGTTTTCTTGTGAAGCTCACAACAGAAAAGGCCTGGCCACTTCCCGCCCAGCCATTGTTCGCCTTCAAGGTAGGGGGACTGGGTGGGATTTCAGCCAGCTGTCTAGCAGTGGAATTGGCTGACTTGCCAGCCTTCATTTGTCCTTCAGGAATCTCCAGGTGAGGGGTAATTGGCATAGCTCCCATTCCTAGTGGGAGCACCTGAGACCCTGCCACGGCTTCAGCCAAGAATAGAATCCTGACGTCATAGCAGATTTCCCATCACGAAGCAGAGGCCCTGGGAGGGAGGGAGGAAAGGGAGCCAGCAGGAGATGGTCAAGGTTCCTAATCAGCCTTGTTTCTGTCCCTCCTGTGCAGAGAATGGGGGTGGGGGCAGCAGCCAGGGCTGCCTGAAGTGTTGGTGAATAAAGGAAGTGAGGGAGGAGGTGGGAGAAGCTTGTCTGACTGAAGGGGCAGCTGCCTGTTTCTCCTTTCATATTTCCCAGGGCTTGAGAACTGCCCCCACACACAAATCTTATTCTTTGGTCAGGATCCCCTATTCAGAGAGGCAGTCTCTCCCCACAACCTAGATAGTCTCCCAGGTATGAGCAATGGTGTTTTATGGGGCCCTGCTCATGGCTGGTTTGTGTACCACTGTGCCCTGGGAGTGCTGAGTAGCCATCTTTAGGTTGGGAGTTCCAAGCTATAGGAAGAATTCAAGGCTTGACTTCCCATGCCTCCCTTCTTCCCCTCATATTCTTACTGGGTACTAACTCTTAAGTCCCCCATCCACAGCACTGCCTGCAGCCCCCTTCAACATCACAGTGACGAAGCTCTCCAGCAGCAATGCTAGTGTGGCCTGGGTGCCAGGTGCTGATGGCCGAGCCCTAATCCATTCCTGTACAGTGCAGGTAGGCTGAGATAACACAGCAGGCTCTCCTTGACTGGCCAGGTTCATTCTGGCTGCCTGTGTGACATTGTTATTATTCTTAACTAGACCTGCCTGGGACTCTGGGTCTGCGGCACTATTCAAAAGCTGCTCCTAAGCGGGGGTGGGGGAGGTGGGGGGGGTACAGCCTTCTGTCTGTTACTTTAGTAACAGAGTGTGCAGATTGGCTCAAGCCTATGCGTTCTTAAAGATAAAACAGATCACTAGAGCAGACTTGGGTGTCTAGAAGAGTTTTTCCTTTTCCTTTCTTTCCTTTTTTTTTTCCCTTTCAATGCTGGGGATCAAACCCAGGACTGCTCACATTCTAGGTAAGCACTCTACCCATTGAGCTAGAAGAGCTTTTCTTTTGTGGGTAAAAACTTTTGCTTTATCTGATATTCTTCACTCTTATATCCCACAACTGCCCCCAAAGAGAACAAGAGGACCAAAAGGGGTCCTGAGCCCTGGAGAATAGAAAAGGTGGGTCAGGGGATATGACAACCAAGAGCCAAAGCAGCCTTGCTTATTTTCATATTTACTCAAAGGGGATTTAATGAGAACCTTTTAAAATTTTTATTTATTTATTATTTATTTTTCTGTGCTGGGGAGCAAACCCAGGGCCTTGAACATGCTAGGCCAGCACTCTGCAACAGAGCTGTATTCTTGACCCTTTAATGAGAACCTTTGACATTTCTAAGTGCCTCCCCTGGGCAGGAGGGGCCCTGCCCTGACTCCCCATCCTGGCCCCTTTTTAGCCACAGCCCTGTGTCCCTGGGCAGAGTCTGCAGAACCAGAAGGGACAAGCCTATCTAGATCATCTTTACTGGCACATCATACTCTACATATTCAGCATCTCTTGCTCTGTCCTGGATCTGAGTCCATGGCTATTTTGGCCTCTTCTCTGGCCCATCTTCCCATAGGTAGACCATACTGTGATGTGTGCATTTCTATGCTTAAAGAGCAGTCATTGGGTGGGGTCAGCCAGCATGATCACTTCTGTGCACTGGAAGCCTCTCATGATGTAGACTCCTAGGACCCAGCTCTTCCATTGCCAGCACACTCAAGGATTTGAAGAATTATAAATGTAAACCTGACCTTCTAGTAATTTTGAAAGTTTATTTATCAAGATAGTACATAGGGGCTGGAGAGATGGCTCAGAGGTTAAGAGCACTAGCTGTTCTTGCAGAGAACCCAGGTTCAGTTCTCAGCACTCACATGACAGCTAACAACCATCTGTAACTCCAGTTCCAGGAATCTAATGCCTTTTTCCGACCTCTGCAGGCATTATACAACATGGGTGCACTTACATGCAGGCAATAGACTCATACACATAAAATAAAAATAATGATTATTTTTGTGTGTGTTTTTTGAGATCCGGTCTCCCTGTAGCCACAGCTGTCCTGAAACTTGCTATGTAGACTAGGCTGTCCTCGAACTTGCAGAGATCGGTGGATTAAAGGCATGCCTGACTCATAAAGTACTTTTTGTTTGTTTGTTTGGGGGTTTTTTGGTCTTTTTTTTTTTTTTTTTGAGACAGGGTCTCCCTGTAGCCCCAGCTCTCCTGGAACTCACTATGTAGACCAGGCTGGCCTTGAACTCACAGAGATCTGCCTGCCTCTGCCTCCCGAGTGCTGGGATTAAAGGCGTGAGCCACCACACCCAGCATAAAGTACTTTTTAAAAAAGGTAGCAACATAGAGTCAGGCTTGGTGTTACATGCCTGAGATCCTAGCACTTGGGAGTTCGAGGTAGGAGAATCAGGAGTTCAAGACAAGCCTGTGCTAGATGAAACCTTGTCTCAAAAAAAGTAGGGGAGGAAGACTGAAAAGATAGCTCAACAGTTAAGAGCAGTGGCTGCTCTTGCAAAAGACCCAGGTTCTGTTCCTAGCATGGCAGATAACAACAGTTCCTAACACCAGTTCCAGGGGATCCAATGGCCTCTTGTGGCCTCCATGGGCATTGCACAAAATGGGTGCACTTACATAAATGCAGGCAAAACACTCATACACATAAAATAAAAATAAAATTGGGGCTCGGGGGGATGTAGCTCAGTTGGTAGAGTGATTGCCTAGCATGCAAGAAGCCCTGGATTCCATCCCCAGTAGCACATAAAACCAGGCATTGCATCACATACCTATACTCCCAAGACTCTGGAGGTAGAGGCAGGTTCAAGTCATTCTTGGGTACGTAGTGAGTTTGAGGCTAGACTGGGCTATGTGAGACAGAGAGAGAGAGAAAACTAGGTTAGGGATATAGCTCAGTGGTACAGCACTTGCCTAGTATGCATAAAGCCTTAGGATTGATTCCCCAACTCTGCTACATAAAGAAATAATAAATGTATTAGATGATTTTTAATGTTTAAACATTTAACCATATTATATGTGAACTTTTGTGTGTGGTACCAGGGATTGAACCCAGGGTTTTTTGTATGCTAGGTTAGAGCTCTACTACTGAGCTATATCCCTAGACCCATACATGGATCTTTGTATTCAATTCCCTGGGCCTCCAAAATGTAAGGTGAGAAAATGTCTCACAGTACCTTCTGTTCCCAGTTTCTTTTATCTTGAGACTCAGAGACTTCAGGGTGGCAAATAAACAGTTACAACTGGCAAGTGCTATGGAGCAGTTAAGAGTTAAGTACAAAGCCAGGCGTGATAGCACACGCCTTTAATCCCAGCACTCAGGAGGCAGAGGCAGGTGGCTCTGTGAGTTCAAGGCCAGCCTGGTCTACATAGTTCCAGGACAGCTGGGGCTACAGGGAGACCCTGTCTCAAAAAGAC